TAATCATCTCCGTCTTCCCTCCATCAAACTAGGATGTACGAAAAAAGCTTTTTATTATCATGGATGTGAAGTTTTTAATCGTAATTTGTAGTTTTTATGAATAGTTTGTAATAAATCTTAACCTCTTTTAGGATTTTTCTTCTATTAGTTTAGTGAGGATTAGTTTTGAGTATTTTTATATTTCTTTTATCTAGGGCCTCTAAGGATATCAGTTTTTGTAACTGTGCATGTAGGAGTTACCCTAGCTAAGTAAAAGTATCTACTACTACTATTTCTACTACTACTACTACTACTACTACTACTACTACTACTATTACTAGAAGTATGCGAAGCGGAACGGAATTGGCGCGTTGTCGTGTTGCTGTTTCTTTTTTCTTCAATAAATGAAGAAATTTCCAGGTCGTCTAGCTGCTTTTCTTCGTTCGATTCATCTAATAAACTTGGATGTATATTTGCCAGCCATTCTGACTCTTCGTCGTCAGAAATGATTCAAATTGTCGGCCATTTTTTTTTTCGTAACTACAATTCAATTCTTCGTTTGCGCGATGCGAGAAAACCTGTTTAACCTGTACTATACAGTACAAATACCGCGTGATATTTGTACTCGTCTATGGCATTATTTGTGCTCTACGAAGTGTAGTTGGATAATAAATATGCGTTATTAGCTAAGCGTGAGGTCTAGATGGCTGGATTTTTTTACGTCTTAATGGACCGAAGCGAAGTCGAGAGAAACAGAAAGATCTACAGAAAGCGGCCAAAGAGAAAAAGTAAGAAGGAGAGGCAAGAGAAAGCAAGTCTTGGGTCTTGATTGTGTCCAACTTTAAAATGCATCGGCAGTTTTTATGTACTCAACTCCCCAAACCTTGTGAATAAACTAAGTGCGTTGCGTGAGTTGCTTTGTTTCGCAAATTATTTTTGCATCCTTTTGTCTTACTCATACACTGTACTGTCCATCCTTTCTCGGTCATCTTAGACTATTGAACAGCGTTTGCAGTGGAACTGAAAGGTAAGCGTTTTGAGGAATTTACTTTGGGCTGCTTAATGTTTCATCCTGATGTTACATCTTTTAAAAAAGATGTGAAACTAGCAATTACAAAAGATTGGCCAGTGAGAGGACCGGGGTTAACGTTCTAAGTTTGTTGACTGTCGCACCACCTGCTCAGACAACCTGACTGTCGTCGACAAGAAAGGAAAATTTGTAGAGAAACCAATGTCTTCAATGTGTGGTCACTCCCAGACGAAAATTTAGCAAGTCGCTGTAAATTCTCTATCTAGGGCATTTCCACAAAATGCAGAGATCAAATCACTCATAAAAGCCGCGCAACTTGCGTAAGGCTGAATGTCTTGGCAAGGGAAAGCATTATGTAAATTTCAACAATTTGTTATTTTGTGATAGTAAGTGAGTGAGTTCTATTTACAGCGGGTAGCACTTCATAGGCAAAAGACCAATAAACTTTTGGCCTACAAATACCTTGATACCTTTGGAATCTACAGTTTCTCTGATGAGAATTAATATTCTGGCCCCAGGGTAAATTCTGTTTTTGCTATTTTATCCTTTAGATAGTGATGGATTAGTTTGGCGCTTAAAATGATGTCTTTACAGCCCACGCTATTACGTTCTGTTTAACCATTTCAGGTCAATGGAATTTTAAGCTTTATCTTTTGTAAATTACGCGCACATACACAGGTGAATAGGAGGAAATTTGAAAGAAACAGGTCTCTCGTATTATCACTTGGCTTGAAATGGGTAAACACAACATACAAGCTAAAGATGTCTATTAATTAAAGTATTATTTCCATCGTCACGGGAAGGCTTTCACTACATATGATAGTTTAGTCTGATCGTCCGGATGAGTGTAGTCCTGAGAAAGACCGTTGTCGGTAGTGGTCACAGTCGTCTCATAGTCATCGCAACGTTACATTGTTGCGCGGCGATCTTATAGTTGACAGAGTTTTTCTCCTGCTCGCGAACCTTTCAGCGTTCTTCCGCGAAACGATATACCTCGGAATGTCTTTTTACTGCGTGATAATAACACTATGTGGAGTATCAATCGATTCTGTTAATGTCTTGGTGGAGAAGATTCACTCCTTTTTTTGTGATCTTACGTCATCCTTCACGCCCATCGCTTCGTCGGATATTGCTAATATAACTGTTACTGAGATTCCAGATGAGATGTACGTGTCTGAGCGCGAAGCCTACAAAGCACTCGCCTCGACTAAGATCAAGAAAGCTAATGGACCAGATGATTTTCCGAATGGAATTCTTAAGGTCTTTGCGTTTGAGTTGGCTCCTGTGGTTGCTGACATTTATAATGCCACCCTCAAAGATGGTCTCATCCCACCGTTGCTGAAGTGCGCCATCGTTCATCGCATCCCTAAGCAGCCCCCACCCAAGTCTATTAAGGACGATTTACGCCCGGTTTCACTCACGTGTCAGATTGCTAAAGTTTTTGAAGGGTTTACACTAACACATGTTCTCCCTACAGTTTTAAAAGATCTTGATATTAAACAGTTCGCGGTATCAGAGAAGTCAACAGAACAGGCGAGAATTTATCTGATTCACCTTACCTTAGAAGTTTTAGACAAGGCTAATTGTTCAATCAGTAAAGGCTGATAGTTTCTAAAGAAACTGTTAGGGGATGCATCGGTGGGGGTAACGAAATAATTTGGATATATCAACAAAGTTGAAATGGTAAATTGGCCACCGTAACGATTACAAAAGCTGACGTTTCGAGCGTTAGCCCTTCGTCGGAGCGAAGGGCTAACGCTCGAAACGTCAGCTTTTGTAATCGTTACGGTGGCCAATTTACCATTTCAACTTTGTTGATATATCCAAATTGTTCAATCAGGTTCTTTTTCGCGGATTTTAAGAAGGGGTTCGACCTAATAGACCTTGTGATATTGTTGAGCAAGCTATCTAAAT